TTCCACCAATCCTAACGCCACGCTTCTCATAGAGCCCAGCCTCTCGGATAATCTACTCTGCATACAGCTTGAAAAGATATGGAAATAGGACACATCCCTGGCGTACACCCTTCCCAATTTTGAATATAGTCTCAATATAGTATACATAATTTATCCCATTTTTCTCAGTCTCCCCCAACCGCGATGTCAGTCCTGTTTTACAACAGTGACACTATGCAGTATTTGTCCTTTTGTGACTTAGATATTTCACTCAGCATAATGTCTTCCAGGGTCACCCATTTTGTAAAGTATTTCATGAGTTCCTTGTTTTTCAATGAGGTGTAGTATTCCATTGTGTGAATATCCCACAGCTTCTCTCCATTCATTTGTTGATGGGCACTTAGTTGTTTCCAGCTCTTTGCTATTGCAAACAAAGCCGAGATAAACATGGGTGTGCATATATCAGCTTGGGTGGCAGGGTCTCTTTGGAGTATATTCTCAGTACTGGTATTGCTGGGCTGTCAGGGGCCTGGCTAGCTTGTAAAGCAAGTTTAGCCCTGTACTGTGAAACCAGCAAGACTAACTCCATCTTGGCTAGAAAATCTGCTTGGCAATTAACAACTCAGGGAAGTAAGATGTTAATGAATAAGAGTGACCAAAGATCTCAGACCTTAGGGAATGTTATCTACTCTTTGTTTCTTAGAGCACTTGATAAAGCATGCTGGAAAACATCTTTGTATTATGCTGAGGTCTGTGAGAGTTAATGTTTGACCTGATAGTCAACATCTCAGATGGAAAGAGATAATGAGATTGCTACTGCAGAGGTGTTTATAAAATCTATATATGCTTTTCAAAAAATATTAAAGTTTGCTATTCGTCACTAGCATTTAGCCTCTCTGCGTCTTCATTTAATCCTAGTCCCTTCTCTCGGTGGAACTGTTACAATATATTGGGGCTGGACCCCGATACTGGACAAATGGTACTTCTATTTCCAACTTTTTGAGAAAATGCCATACCACCTTCCACAGTGGTTGCACCATTTTACGCTCCCACCGACAGTGAATAAGGGTTCCAGTTTCTCTACAACCTCACCAGCCTTTGTTGTTTGCTATTCTGTTAAATTTTGCTATTCTTACTGGGGTGAGATGATCTCATAGTTGTTTTGATTTGCATCTCTCTTAGAGCTAGGGATTTTGAACATTTCTTCATATGTTTGGGTGCCATCTGAATGTCTTCTTTGGTTAAGTGTCTATTCATATCCTGTGTCCATTTTGCAATTGAGTTGTTTACCTTTATCTTGTTGTGGTGACAAAATTGTTTTATAAGACCCTAGCGTGAGGAGGGGTAGTTGTCAAAGGAGTGATGCTCTTGTCTCCACTATCTCTTGTTGTGGCCAAACATCACTAGCCACGAGCTGCCTATGGTTCACCTCTGGGACTTTTCTAGATTAAGTGTGGTCTGTCTCAGATACCAAGGAATTCCTGGGTAGCTCAGTTTCTGGGAGACTATTAAGCAGAGTAATTTGATTTTTATGTCTGGACCTGGACAGATGTGAGAAACAATGAAGTTGGGCAATAGAAGGTGTGTGTGCAAATGGAGGAGATCCAGAGAGAGGCCAGGTGGTTAACAATGTGACCACTTCCCGGCTACTTCCTTTTCCGGTAAAAGAGACCTAAAACCATTGTTAGTGGACTCACAGATCAGCCCAGTCCTTGCGTGGTCCCTTGAGCTACTACAGCTCAGTATGAGCCTGATAACACTGTGATCAAGGTACAGTATTTCCTCTCCTTGCCCCAACCCTGTGCCTTTTTAGAGATTGGTTTTCATCATTCCTAGAGCCTTCTCAGGATTACAGCTCCCAGGGAACTGTGAATCTTCAAAGGACACTTTGGTGAGAATAATATTGGGGCAAGAGGTACTCTAGTGATCTAAAGACTTTAGAGTTACCATTTTCCTTACAGACAGCTCATGGGCTGAATAGAAAGGGTCTGGGCCAGGCAAAACCCAAGCATCTCATCAGGGGAGGTGTGTGTATGTGTGTGTGAGAGAGAGGGATGGCGGGAGAGGAAGTCTAACTAGAATGAAGTGATCCCTCAGGAATCGTCCTCCCTGTTTGATCTCATGCTATCTTACTCCTAGCGCTGAGTAAATCCAAACCCAGGAGGCAGGGACAAACATATATGTCCTGATAGATGGATAAAGCCTGCCAAGTACTCATACGCTTACCTCTAGACTTATATGCAACAAAATGAAGCGGGCCTGCCACAGTTTCTAGACCCTTTCCTCCTCTTTCCTGCAGTGTCATGGGCCTCACTTGTCAGAATTCAGATTGAGGAATCAGTTGGTGTTCCCGGAAAAGGAACCTAGTCTTTAATGGGCTGGGGGTGGGAGGCTGTTTACTTTGTTTACTTCCTCTTTTCTAGTTGACCAGAGCCCTTCAGGGCTGCAGACAGCTGTAGTGACTTATTCACTCTAATGCTACAACATGTGGCAGCTGCTGCCACCAACAGCTCTGCTACTTGTAGGTAAGTCAGAGTCTCTCTGGCTGGGGGAGAAGGTCATGGTGCCCTGGCTTCAGCAGAGACCTCTTCTCAGGTCAGGGATGGGATTCCCAAGAAGGGATGAGACTGCTCACACATCTAGAACCCTTGGATTTAGCTCTTTAGCTCCAAAGGAAAGCCAGCTGGAAGAGAGAAATAGGAACTCGGAATTTGATTTGGCATAATCGAGAGGTCTTAGTCATTTTCCTTATCTGTAAATTGAAGTTGTTATTAGCTGCCTTTGAGTCATATTAGAGTAGAACAACTCCACAGGGTTTCCTGGCAGCTTCCCACAAACCACTGGCACCACCTGGCTCTTGTAAATTGAAGAGTCTAAACTCAGTGTCCATCAGCTCTGTCCCTTCCATTCCCTCCACCATTCCAGAACTCCCTTACTGCAACTTTTAACCTCTATTTTTCCAGGGGCCTTGAGTTGAGATTGTTCCTGTGACTTGATTCAGGGAAGTTTAACTTGGACCCTTCATTTGCTAGTCTGAGCAGAGAGCAAGGAATAAAAGAACAGTGTTGAAAGTAAGGGCAGAGGTGGTCAGTGGGGCAGGAGGCATGGACATTGGAGAGTAGAGGAAAATAGAAGTGTCCACTTTAAATATATTGATTCTTGGGAGCACTGGGCTCTGACAGTGTTGGGAGGGAAATTTGAATTCACTTCACACTTCAATTGCCCTGCTCACCATGTAAACTCAGTATTCAGTTTACTTTTTTTCTTTTTTCCCCTCTCTCTCTCTCTACAGTTTCAGCTGATCTGGAGGCTGGTGAGTTTGCTTCCTGGTTTCGGATGAATTGAGACATATAGAGGCAAAAGAGCCCTGGTCTCACAGTGGCTAAGTGTTTGGCTGCTAACTGAAAGGTCGACAAGTTCGAACCACTGCGGAGAATGAATGGCATTCTGCTCCCATAAAGATTCACTGCCTTAGAAATCCTATGAGGCACTTCTGCTCTATCCTACAAAATTGTTCCAAGTCAATACCGACTTGATAATAATGGATTTAAGGTTTGGTATTTTTGTTTGGATTTTAGAATGCAATAGACACAACATATTGGAAAATGTCCATTGCATGGGAAAATGCTGATTTAAGGTTGGCAGGGCAGTTCCCCAACACAGTGGGGCTTGTCCCTCTGCTTCTTGGACTGATTTTCTTCTGGGTTCAGAGTAAGTTCAGCCAAGTGTCTTCCAGCTTCCTCTAAGTTCTGAGACAGAGTCACAGATTCAGTCTAAGACACTCATTCTGACTCATTCTGACTTAGATTATCCCTGAGAACACCAGTTAAAGACCTGCTTATCCCCTCAACTTTACCCAAATTTTTCTTGGCTCCTCAGCAGATCCTTCAAAGGCTGTGGTTTCCCTCGACCCTCCCTGGTACAGATTGCTCCAGCAGGACAAAGTGACTCTAAAGTGTCAGGGGACCTACCTCCCTGGGGAAAATTCTACACAGTGGTGGCACAATGACAATGCCACCTCAGTTGAGACCTCCAGCTACTTCATTGCTTCTGCAAAGACTACAGACAGTGGAGAGTACCGGTGCAAGACAGGCCTTTCCACACTCAGTGACCCCGTGAAATTGAAAGTTTATGCTGGTGAGTCAATGAAGGGCAAGAGGGAAATCAAGAATGGGTAGAGCAAGAGGTGCTCAAGAACTTGGGAAAAGCTATAAGATGATGTTCCCTGGGGTTAAGGTGAGAGTATCTGCGGTATCACTGAAAGGTAGCAGAGTTGTAGTCTTATTTACAAAGCAGAAATTCAATTCATAGATAGGAAATAACTGTATTGCACAAATCCAAGAATTACCAATCACATAAAATGTGTACAATATGAATGAGGCTATCTGAAGGTCAAGGCTCAATAAATATTTATTGAATAAATTAATTAATCTTTTTTCAAGACTTCAATTTCTTTCTCTCTTCTCAAACATATAACACCCTAAGCTATTTTCCAAATTACTCAGTGCCATATTTACTCTTCTGGTTGCATCACTCTGAAAAAGGCACTTAATACTTTAGCATAAATTAGTAACGTGATGCTCGATGGTATACATGTCCAAGCTATATATTAATTCTAGAATGGAAGTTCTGTGCATTGTTGACAGAATCTGATAATCAGGGACAGATAGTGGAAGTAATTTTTAGGCAGGGGTCTTTCTTAGTTTCCCTAAATTATACTATGGAGGCAGGTACCTGTCACCTGGCAAGCTTGATTGTTTCCCCTGATGGCCCATTTGTACAATGTGTACAGGTGAAACAAGCCTGGAGGGGAAGAATACCCTACTATAGCAAGGTCCATGGAATTGAGCCTCTAAGGCTGATCTCCAGCCTGCACACACATGGACATTTACTGAATCCATGCCAGGGCAGACTGAAAAAGAAGGTTCCCTCAAAGCCACTACGAAGCCTATCTCATGGTAAAACGGTTGTTCTCTCTGAGTCAGCTATGAGTAGATTCTGACTTGAGGATAAATAACAACAAACAACATGCCACAGTTAGGGAGCTCTGGAGCCCTGGTAGGCAGGGAGTTGAGCTTCTAACTCAAATGTGGGGCCTCTGTGGTGGCCTGCACCCACCAGTAACTCCATAGAGAGAGAAAGAGGGACAAGCTCCCGCCACACAATTTACACACAGCCTGCTAAAAATCTGCTCAAGGGCCAGCTAGGAATCATTTCCTACTTTGAATTATGCCACAATTTCTGCAGCCATTCTTGTGCCTCCAAGTCCTCTTTCAATATCCTGGTCCTTTCTGAAACTCTGATGGTATGAATCATTTTCAAAAATGAACGTTTCCTCTCACCTAAAACCTACTGTGTTGTTGTTGTGTATGCCAGAGTCAGAACTGACCCATGGCTGATCATCTGGTGGGTTTTTAGAGGCAGGATTGCAGCATGGCTTCTTACCACTAGAATACAAGAGCTCCACTGCAAATCCAAAACTGTCATTCATTCATTATATAAATTCAAGCTCCTTTTACCTTTAACATTCACATTAAAGCTAAGCATGTCCATGGAGCTTCCATGATAACTTTCATGTTTGGGTCACATATGTATCTACACATGTTCTCCATTTGACAGACTGTCTTGTAATTTGAGTTATCTTTCAGGGCTTGGCTATCTTTTTCCCCAAAGCAAGCTATGTAGAAATGGCTTCGAGTGTGACTTCCTGTGTTCCTCAGGATGAGAGGGGGAGGCATGAAGAGGGAGAGTTTGCCTCACGAGAGTGCTGTGCTGAGAGCTGACACTGTGTCTTTCAGATTGGCTGGTACTCCAGGCCGTTAAGTCAGAGTTCCAGGAAGGGGAGAGAATTGAGCTGAGGTGCCACACCTGGAAAAATAAACCTGTGCATAAAGTCACATATCTCCAAAATGGCACAGGCAGGAAGTTCTCTCATCAGAATACCATGTTCCACATTCCAAAAGCAACATACAGCCACAGTGGCACTTACTTCTGCAGGGGCCTTATTGGGAATAAAAATGTTTCTTCGGTATCTCTAAACATCACTGTTAAAGGTAAGAGATGTGCAGCCCTAGAGTCCAGATGTTTTGTGTATTGAACCTTGTGCTCATACTAGAGGGTGAGAGGTGGGAGAGCTCCAAACTAATATGTGTGGGATTTTCTCCTAGTTGTCAGCACAGACACTGAAAATCTTTGATTCCTGGATAGATTTGAGCCTGTTAGGTTTCATCTCATTTTTTAAGTAAACCATTCACTCAGTGACAGCAAAGGGAAAAGCCACATTTCTTCCTCCATACACACATCTGTTCTTATTCATCCCACTTAAACTACACCCTGGATATCATCAAAATGCCCTATAGTGTGTTGGACTGCTAACCAAGAGTTCAGCAGTTCAAATCCACTGGCAGCTCAACCAGACTAAGATGAGCAACCTCCTCCCTAAAAGATTTACAGCCTCAGAAACACATTGGAGGGCCACTACGACTCGGGCTCAGCTCAAAGGCCATTCTAGGAATCAAACTGGAAGGAACTTCTCACAGCTTCACAAACAGGCCTATAACCCAGATTGTAGGACTGTGTAACTGTGGGTGGGCCACTTGGTCTCTCTGAAGTTCAGTTTCTCATTTTTGGATTTGGTGGAGAATTTCCTCCCCTTTGATTTTTGTGTTTGTTTTTTGGAGGGTGGTGTAAGACAGGTAAATAGATATGCAACTTTGAGACTTAAACAAAACAATACTATAATTTGCATAAAAAGATATTTCATTGTAATTTAGATTGTCTGTAACTAAGACAAGCTGTTATTTATTGGCCACTTTTAATGCTCTGGTCATTGTGCTGAATGCTTCTTTACATACACCTAGTTTGAAGATCATGCCCCTCACAACAATATTATGAGCTGGGTATTACTATTTTACAGATACAGTTTATCTATCTCTCTCTTACACACACACACACTTCAAAGTCTGTATCTTTACCTTAAAGTAAAATGAAGAAATTGAACTAGCACCGGTACCTTATGATAGAATTGTAAATTCCGTTACATCATATAGAAAATACCTCTAGTTTCTGAAACTAGAAATATCCTAACTCCCTGGTTTCACAGACTTCTGTTTGTAACAGATTCTTTTTTTTTTAACTGATTCTCCCTGTTGTTTTACGTAGAGTCTGAAGATTGCCCATCTGTTTGGTGGGTTCACATTGCATTCCTCATCACTAAGCCTGTTCCCTGTCTGTAACTAATTTCACGACCCAATTATGGCCTGGATGGCACAAGTGGTTTGTACTTGCCCTTTAACGTCCGTGTTTGTGGTCTAAACCCATCAAACTGCTATGAGAAAGAAGGGCCTGCTTCTGCAGAGATTATAGGCAAGAAAACCCTCTGGAGGAGTTGTGTTCTGTGATACATAAATTACCATGAGTCAGAGCAGAGGAAGCTTTGAGATTACTGTTTTGGTTAATGTAATAAAACAGACACACAACTTCCACGCATTTAACAAAACAATGTTATGTCATTACAATTTCAATGGAAAAATATCCTCAAATGACTCAAGAAAGTGCATAAGTAATGAAGCAAAATGTGTTTACTTAGTGAATCTGGGTCGTTTTCTAGTTACTTTTTTGATAAATTTGAAATGGAATGAAAATTTGTAATTTGGGAAATTATATCAAAAATGAAACTTTAAAGAAACCAAAGGTGGAAGCACACTTTATGTTACCAGTTTATAGATAACAGCAAAGAAAGACTAATTTAAATTGACAATATTAATATTAGGGAATATGAAGATTAATAAAACCCTGCTTCTTTCTCTTTTGTGTTATTAGTTAGTTACTGGGCCTCAGCTTAAAACAAAATACATTTCTTTTTTGACTTCAAGTAGCAAATTATTCACTTTTGGGGGATTTTCTTCAGGTATATTGAGCAACGTGGGATGAAAACAAAACAACATAACTCTGAGACACAAAAGAACATTACTAAATGGAGAAATAATGTTCTTACACAAACTTAAGCTTTAGCAACTTCCATAATTTTACACAAGTCCCAGCTACAACTCAACTTGTTCAATTCAAGTTCAACTCTCAGCACTCCTCAGTTCAATTCTCCCTGTAACACCCTTTCACAAAACAAGAAGCGTTTGCTAAATGTTCGATGCATTGTGCTCTGTTCAGGTAGCAGAAAGATCCGAAGTCAGTGGTGAACAGGAAGAAATAAAGACCTTCCCCACAGATTCCAAGAACCCATCTCTTGGCAGGTGTTCGGAAAGCGCCTCACTGGTATTCTTACTGGTTTTGCCAAATTTTTGCCTTAAGTCTCATTAATCTCATCTCTCTGCCTCTCCCACCAGGTGTTGCAATTCCATCCATCTCACCCTTCTTTCCTCCTTGGCATCAAATCGCCTTCTGTCTACTGATGGCTCTGCTGTTTGCAGTGGACACGGGCCTGTATCTCTCTGTGCGGAAGCTCAGTCTGAGACTGATGAAACCACAAATTGAAATGGAGCTAGAGCCCTCAGACAAGTGACTTTTCATTGTATAGAGTAATTATCAGCAGTGGTAATAGTATCTCTATATATTCACAACCTCATTGGCTCCAACAATGGCCATATCTGAATGCAGCAGGAGAAATACACATCAGAGCTAAGTCTGAGAGCCCCTCACCCAGCCTTCTGTTTCCTCCTGGTCTCCCATGGAAGAAAGGGCCTGTGACCTTTAAATACAAACCGTAGTGTGCTCCAGTGAGTAGCCGCTTTCCCAAGAATTGAAGAGTCAGAGCCACAGAGAGACTTTCTCTGTCTCAAGCATCATTTCATAGCAAAACAACAACATGAGCTCCTGATGGTGAATGTTTATGCATGTAACTATTTTTCCAAAAATAAATGGATAAGTAATGTCATGGCTAAGGCAGGGACAGAAGCACAGTTGGTCCACATCTGCTATTCCAGGGCTGGTTGCCTTCAATCGACCCCAACTCTCTTTCCAGTCACAATGTGGAGACTGCTGGAGTCCAAGGGAAACAGCAAAATCAGTGAGAGGGCTCCCAAAGAAAGGAGAGGGTAGTCCAGAATGGACCAGGGAGGTCTCCTCAGGTCCAGAGATAAGGCTGTCTTTCTTACATCTGGATGAGGTAATGGGAAATAATAGAACTGATGTAGAATGACATTTTCAAGGGAATCTCTGCAGGCAAGGGAATAATGATCTCAGAATATAATGAGGAAACTTTTTAATGACCCTCATGACATTCATTAAAAAGCTGTGGGTAGAAAAAGGTCAGGGATTGAGGGCAAGGTGGAAGGAGGCATTGGAAGAGGAATTTACAGGACAAAACAAAACAGGCATCCAAAGCATTGCTTTCTCAGGTTAAATTACATGAACATAGGATGTATTTCAGTTTATGAACTGAAAAAGTATGACAAAAAAGTATAAACTACAACTGCACAGGAAGGAATGGACACAGCCAGAAGACCCTCCTTTCTTTCTTTCTTTTTTTTAAAAAAATTTTATTATTTTTGTGTGAGTGTACCATCAAATCAGATCTGACCGGTACAGGAGGAGACTGTCCCTCCTTCCTCGGCAGAGCATCTGGTGGATTCGAACCATTCACCTCTGGGATAGACCCTTCTTTCTTAAGAAACAAAAACAAACCCCCAGTATAATGAGAATTAGTGAGAAGAGGAGCAGGGATTATAAAATTCCATTTTCTGCTTCAATATTTAACTTGAGCCTATGCTTTGTTCCCGTCAGTCATTAAATGTTGGGTCATTAATACTAAATGCACTGAACTGAATTGGGTTAAATTACATTAACTGTCAATATCTCAGTGGGTCAATTACAGTGGGATAGGGGGAGACCAGCAATCACGGCTGATGGCAGGAAATTTGTAGCTTTCTCTTTATGTTCTATGAACTTTAAGCAGAACATGTCTGGACTTTAATAAAATGTTTCAAAGAATTTATGCGCTACTCTCAGAGAGAAAACGGGAAAATTGTAGTGATGAAACATGAATAATTAAATTCTTTTTCCTTCCCATGGCCTGAAACTGTCAGAAATTTGTCTGAGTTTATGAGAAAACTTTCTCTAAGGAGCCATCTCCCCACAACTATTAGATTTAGGCAGCTTGCTTTCCAAATCCTGCTGAAACAAAGAATCTTTGGTGGCACAAGTGGTAAGTGCTGGGCTGCTAACAAAAAGGTCTATAATTTTAACCAAGAAAATTGGTTGAAGGGGAATTTTTATGGGTGAAGATGGGACAAAAAGAGCACTCTGCTGGCCTAGTCTGTAGGCAGTTGCACTGCTGTTCTAAAGGTCATGTGCCTTGACCTATTTGGATCCACTAAATGAGTCTATGAGAACAGATAACCAATCTCTTCCTATGCAATTTACAGCTTTAGGAACAGGATGGGTGGTCAGATGTGAGGCAGTTCTACATGGATGGCAATGAGTTTGAGGGTTTTGAGATGGCATGAAGTACTGGATAGAAACTGGGATGGGTTTAGAAGATGGTAAAGTATCCCTGGTGGTACAGTGATGAAGTGCTTGGCTGCTGCTCTAGGAAGATATATATGGCAGTACCTCAGGGCCAGTTCTGCTCTATCCTAGGTTATTTTGAGTTTGGACTAGATGAAAAGGGGTTAGATTTGGTTTTAGGAAATGGGTTAAATAAGTCTCAGTCAAGCAAAATGCTAGAGGCAAGTGCCTAGGTAGAGGTACAGGAACAGCTTGGTGTATAAAGATTGGCTAAGATTCAGATGCTAGACTAAGAAATTTGGAAACACTGGACATTCAACTGGCATTTTTTAGTACCTGTAATGTACCAAGTTTGAGTCTAAATGCTGTTCATCACGATGAACTCTGTCATTCCCTCGAGGACTTTTTAGTCTACTGAGAAAACAGATAAATGGTGAGAGAGAAAAGGCTGGAGAGATTCTCAGTTAGTGGTGTGATCACAAAAGAAAAGCCACTAAAAGTAACCAGATAAAAGTAAATTTAAAAAAAATTCATAAAAGCACTTTAGTTCTGCTGGGATTTAAAATGTCTATTGAAAAAAAAGAGAAAAAAAAAGGGGGGGGGGGAAATGTCTATGAAGGAGAGAAGAGAGTTCAGGAGATAGTTAGGAAACTGCCTTTCAAGTCAAGGAGATTGTGCCAGATCCTGGAAGCTATTGAGAAATTTTAAGCAGAGGAAGGAGCGATCTGGTTTGCATTTTCCAGCTCTTTGGCAACCAACCACATGTAAAAGGGATCAGAGAGAATAGAAGACAGCAAACCAGCGAGGCTGGCTAAGTAATTACTACAGTTAAGCCCAGAGGAAATAAAGAGGAAGTGAGACAGCAACCACGAGGCTGGGGAGAAAGGTGCTTATTCATAAAATAAAGAAGGCAAACCTTCCAAGAATGATATTGTAGAAACGACTAAAACGTCGGTCTTCTAATTTATTACTTCAATAGGGAAATCTTAAAGCCTGTTTCATGATGCAAGGTTCTAAAACTAAAATTTCGTAGCTGAAATTTTTACAACTAAGTTACCCTCCAGCGGCTCGGCGGGAGAAAGCTAGGCAGACGCCTCCCTTCGGCATTTACCACCTCGGAAACCCGATGCAGCACCGCCAGGAGTCCACAACAGCTCCCCGGCTGTTTTTTCCCCTAGAAAACAAACACAAACAAAACACACACACACAAAAAAACAACAAAACAAAACAAAAAACCAAACCCCGCAGCTTGTGAACTGAAATAGTAAGTACTGGAGTGAGCGGCTAGTGTTCCCAGTGGTTAAAAGGAGGGGGAGAGTGATAACCGTGTGGCCTTGGTACCAATTGTTTTAAACTTCAGAAAAATTACTGCCCCGTCCCTGGGTGGGCTCGAACCACCAACCTTTCGGTTAACAGCCGAACGCGCTAACCGATTGCGCCACAGAGACAGGTGCCAACAGCTTCCTCTGTCAAGTTAGTTCACTGAAGAGCGAGTCAGCGCGCTCTCGGGTTCCGAAAGGCAGTGGCTGCGAACCGCATTGGCGGATTAGAGTTAATGGAAGTTGACCGCACAAACCGGCGGAGCTGGCAGTTGCTTTCCATTCACCACGCCGCGCTCCGTAGTCTCGCAAGAGGCCGTTTCCCCACCGCCCCGCCCCACTAGCAGCTTCTTACGTTAGAGACAGGACTTGACTTTTACTCACACTAGCCGAGAAAAGGGGAGAAGAGGATGAATGAAGGAAGGGGCCCCCAGAATGGACGCTCTCTGTGGTCTCCGGAGTTCAGTTGGTTTTGCTCATAGATGTGTGTCAGTAAATTATTTTGTAAAAATAAGTTTTTTACTATATATGTATGTATTCATGTGTAAATATTGGCTCATATTAAGTTTGTACAAGTGTGAGTACTGACTCATATTAAGTGTATTATTATGCAAATAAAATATTCTATCTTATATTCAAGTAAGTGTAGAAAAATGTAGGGTGTAAGAGAACCTCATAAGCGAAATTAATCGTCAACTCCAGCTGTTTTGAACGACTTCTGCGAATACATTAGGCATCTAGACACAGTTTGTAAATGACTATGACTTACGGATTTTTCACTCTAACATGTTGTTATAACGTGCCGTCAAGTCGTTTGCAACGCTACGTCAGCTCTGAACCCTACCCTATCCTGTGCCAACCTTATTGTCTCTGACACAACTACCCCCATTACCCCAGTCACTGGGTCAATCCACCTCATCCAGGGTCTTCCTCTCCTGCACTGTCCCTCCATCCTCCCAAGCATGACATCCCTCTCCATTGACTAGTCCCTCCTTGCAACATGCCCAAGATATGTCAGATGGAGCTTCAGAATCCTTGCCTCCAAGGAGCAGCCTGGTTTCACCTTCTCTAGGTCCAACCTGTTTGTTCTCCTAGCAGTCCATGGTATTCTCAATACTCTTCTCCAGCACAACGCCTCAAAGGCATCAATTGTCCTTCTATCATCCCTAGTCATTGTCCAGTTTTCTGATGCATAGCAAGTAATTGTAAAGGAGATGGCCTGAATTAGATGCAGCTTAGTCTCCAGACTGACATCGTTACTCTTCATTACTCTGGAGAGGTCCCTGACAGCAGACTCTCCCAATGCAATTCATCTTTTGATTTCCTGGCTGCTTGTACTATGAATGTTGATTGTGGAGCAAGCAAACTAAAACTGTGAACAATCTCAATCTTTTCTCCTTCTATGATGAGGCTGCCAATTGGCCCAGTGGTGAGAATCTTTGTTTTCTTGATGCTGAGCTTCAGTTCATATTTAAGGCTGCAGTTCTTGACCTTCTGCAGCAAGCACTTCAGGTCTTCCTCAGTAGCAAGCAGGGTTTTGTCATTTGCATAATGCAGATTGTTGATGAGTCTTCCTCCAATCCTGATGCCACATTCCTCCTCATAGATCCCAGCTTCCTGGATGATTTGTTCTGTATATAGCTTGGAAAGGTATGGAGATAGGATGCACCCGTTTCCTTGCTCTGTTCTGAGGACTAACTCCTGGTCCAAGTATAGGTTTTGCATAAAAACAATCAAG